CCTTCTGCCTTAGATTCCCAAATAGCTGGACTTACAGGTCTCCACTATCAGTTCTGGCTACACACTCTTGGTTGTGTCCAATGATGCACAGAAGATTATATTTTTCATGTGCTCTATTTTATCTCATTTTCTCCCCACCCACCCCTCTACGCCCACCCCAACTTCTTCCTGGTCTTCCCATTAGGTACTAAACAAAATTTATAGGAAACAGTGTCAGGAGAATAAGATCCTGCCATCATGCAGCCTTTCACATGTTTCCTACCTATTCCCTATGCTTAAAATTTACATAATGTCTCTATCATAGACTTCTGCCTTTGTACTCATTTATAAAATACTGCATTGAAATTATTTGTGTAAGCTAATTAGAGTCATTTTGATCATCAATCTACAACACAACACTTTTAATGTTGTGATGATATGAAACCTTTGAAAAACATGTCGCTTTATCAGTGACACATCCTTGAGTTTAGCAGGAAGACAATGATTTTCACAAGTACACACTGTTTTCAGCCTGTGATGCTTCTCATAACATTGACTACTGATCTCTGTGGCTTTCTCTACACAGACGGGTGCTTGCCAGAAACATGAATGTGCCCGAAGCCAAAGTGCAGGTCAGTAAATCTGAGAAAGCATGGGGCAGGGTAGGCCATCTGGAGCACTTCAGGTCTTGGACCAGTGTCCTGGGTCTTTTTCAGTAGGAGTATAATTTCTGTTTTCCTATGATGACAGTCACTGGCTTCTTCATTGGAAGGTGGAAGATCTATACTTCAGCTAGTGCTTCTTGCCTATTCCTGGAAGTAAAGTGACTTCCTGGTGGAAACAGAAACCCAAAGCAACCACTTGCTGCCCATGTTCTGTGTGCAAAGCCAAGGTCTTTACACAGCAAGGGCTCTATAATTATATACATGTAGAACACATACCTGTTAGTGCATGGTTATTTACTCAGTACTCATGTTTACTTCCTTCACCACCATTGTCCTTTACAGGAAACTAATGTGGAGTCATTCGGGGCTGAGGATGCTGCTGTAGAGACTCAAGTTGATGCAGGATCAAACAGGGCTATCAAAGGATTCAGTTGCTTTGAATTACTAAAAATTAGCTGTGCACACTTAGCTAAAGGATAATCTAGTAGCTATCGGGGCAAGTTACCAATCTGCCCATGGAACCCACAAGAACCAACTCACACATGATATGATGACACTGATGTGGGGACAGAGCTTCATAGTCCAAGTGGTTGCTCCTCCTCCTCTGTGAGTGTGCATGAGATAGCAGCACTCAATTTTCATCTGGAGGATTGGTTTCAATTCAGATGTTGCCTCCACCCTAACACAATCTACAAACTGTCCCAAGGGCGGTGGAAGGGGGGGGTGAGGATTAATGCTCTTGAAACCTTGTCTAAGGGATGAAACAGTCAAAACCAGTTAATTCATTAGAGATGACCCAGCTTCGGTGAATAAGACACCCATAAAAGTGCACCTTGGAAATCACATTAAATGTGCACTTGTCTTGCACCGAGTCTTTTCCAGAACTTAGCACAGGGCTGCTGCTCTTATTGTGTGATCAGAAGGAGCAGGCATACTATGACTTTTCAGAAATAGTGATTGCTGGTACTGTTTTCAGATTTCTGTGAAGAAGGCAGGGTTAACTGGAGTCTAGCCATGGCCTCTAACACTGAACACACCCTGCCTGCTTCTGCCCTGGGTGGCTGAGCATTTGGAAGAGAGCTGCTGAAGGGCAGTTCAGAATGCCAGTGTCCCGATGATGTGCCTCTTTGCATCAAAGTGCCCAGCATGCTGAGACATTTCCTGTTCTCCTCTGCTTTCAGACTTGGTTTAACAACAGGAGAGCCAAACAGAGGGCCAGTGAGAAGAAAGCGATGCTCAGGAGCACACCACCTGGGATCCAGGACCACATTTCCATGAGGGACATGGAGGAGCCCTAGGATGCCATCCTTGTCCAAGAGCCACATGGAGATGGGCTGTTGAAAATTATGTGTCTCTATATCGTTGGCATTGGAATAACAGTACCAATAAAGACAGATTTTCACAATATTTTCTTCTGCTTTGTAGAATGTAGATGCAAAAAGTCTCTGTACACAAGATTCAAACAGGTTGACAAAGAGGTCTTCTTTCATGAGGTGACAAGCCTGTGTCACCTTCAGTAGCCCCTGAGCTTCACAGTTGTTTCTCTGGTCTTTCTGGATTTGCACAGAAAGTGGCTTGTTCTCTGTCTCTCACTCCTGACCCCCATTCTGAATGCGTAGGAGCAGAAACATGTCCAAGGATCCTCACTGTCCCCAGTAGGTGGTCAGTGCGTTTTCAGACAGCACAGCCTCCTGCCCACACACATGAGTTCAGTACACACCTGAATCTTCCAAAGGCCAGTTACAGGACTCACTGGATCAGGCAGCACTCGTCTTCACTGTGGGAATACAGGTCTCTGCTCACCTGACCCTTCTTCTGTGCAGCAAGCATGGCCCTAGGAGCAACAGTATACAGAGGTCCTGCTGCTTCAAAAGAAACAGGAGACTCCAAACATTCCAGATTGGAGGGAGGCTTAGGCTTCTCTCCTGCCACCCAGCCCAGAGCATGCAAGATATTGCCCACCTTCCCCGGCTCAGAGGCTCACTTTAGATTTTT